CAAGGACATATTTCCAACTTATTTTACCAGCTCAGAATGAGTTTTATAGACTCTTCTTGCAATGCTAAAATTCTTCACTTACGGAAATGTGCATGTGCTGCAGTGTATGGAAAGTTCAGTCAATTCTTTGTAAATATACTGGTGTGTGTTATGTTTTATATCCTCACATATGTAGATCTATATAAATCTATACATGTGCACGCACACACACAATCTTATTTATGGATCAGAAGATATCTTCAATTTTAGGGCAGGCAACTGATTCAGACTATGAAACTCTCCCCAGATAAAATCTTTAATCTTGATCACAGTCAGTGAAGAAAGTGCTCAAGGAAATGATCAGTACCAATCTATGTAACAGAAGGAACAGCTGAGAGTGACAGGCATCACATAAAAAGAACCAGCAACCATTCAAATTTACATGGTACATTCCATAGTGGGTTTGCTCAAAACAAGCAGTTTATGGAGATAACCACTTTTGCTTGTTTTTACTGCATCTGTAAACAGGGCTGGATAGATTCGAAGAGTATGCCTGCCTTTAAAGTTTCAAAGCAACTGCAACATGAAGTAGACAGCAGACCTTGCTTGAAAATAAGTGGTTTGCACAGTATTTATAGCACCTCGTTTACCCTGCTTGTAGGTGGAACATTTTTTCACAATCTGTTTCGTACAACTCTTTGAACAGATATAATGCAAGAAAAAACATCTCCCTCCCTATAGTGATTACTGTATTCAAACGTGGAGGAACAATAGGATTATCAAATACTAGACAAACTCAAAACAAAACTGTTTAATTACAGCTCACAATAAGTGTTCCAAATAAAATGCTCACTCAGAAGTTTGGTAGGAATAGCTGAATTTCTCAATTGCAATTTAGGAAAAAAATCTGGAAGGTGGGATAAGGAAAATCTGAGATTATAGCTATTGGGCAGATTCTACTTCAACTTCTGAAACTTTGAGTAAAAACTTCTACTTCAAAATCTACTAGATTTTAAATCTTGTCATCATAGGGTTTTCATACCTCAGGAAATATCTAAGTCACTCTAGTCAACACAGCTTTACAAATGTCTCTCCTACAAAAATAACACTTTGTTTTTAGAAGCATTTAGTCTTACACCTTTGCAAAAACACAAACATTAATAAATAAGGGTTTCAAGGCTTTGTACCAAAATAAACGTGGTCTTATGTTTTTTCTTCGTTGTAAACTGCAACTTCAGATGCACAACTTACAATTTGTCTACCCTCTACTTAAGCACCAGTGTCCTCTCAAATCTGACCCTTAAGTCTATTTTCACCAGTTAATTCTGGACACTGATATGATTTTAAAAGTTAGAGAAAAATACTTAAATGAAACATTGCTATTTCATATTTGAATAAACTATACTAATTTAGTCTAATGAAGTAGTATTTTAAATTGTGAGATTTTGTAAGTTAGTATTTGAACAGCCTAAAGTATTACTCGATGGACATGAGATTTAATGAAACTCTCACCATGAACTCTCCAGGTTGGTTTCATTTGCTGTCTTAAAACAGACAGATTGTTGTATGCCAGAACAGCAGCATCTAATGCATTAAGTCCTTCCCAAGGATAAGCAGCAGCATGAGAAGCTTTTCCATAGTATTTCACAGTCACACTAGGAAATAAAAAGCATTGTTTTATTTTTTTTCATTCGGTGAAAAAAATTGAAAAGTAGGCTATAAAAGTTTCTTTGGTTCACACAGTTCACTTGGGTTCAGCCTGGCAGAACACAAAGAAACAATGTAGCTGGCACTGCACTATTGCAAAGTTAAACTATCTCTGAATGCAGAACTTTTATTTAAAAGGCACTGTATATAAGACAGCAAAAGCACATGCCTGTATTTAAATATATAACTCATGTCTAAATATCAAATGTCAAGTTTTAGAACAGCTGTAAAGGTATAGCCCAGTATAAAATATAAATCACTATGCCATGGCAAGAACATCCTTCCCCTGAACATCTCAAAAAAGCTGGTAGAAGGGCTTGCAAAAAATGAAGAAACCTACTCCAACAGCTACTTTCAATCTTTGTAAAAATCACATAATACTCCTCAAGCATTATATTTGACGTGAATTGCTTGGCTTTATCTTATGGGGCCATTTACCTTAGCCTTACAAAATAATGTATTTAATACTTCAAATTACAGTAAAATTGCTTTCAAGAGGCAATAAATATTGACAGCTATATTATCTACACAAATGTTGATTTTATCAATACTAGAGATTTTAACTAAAATTTCTGCTTGGACTCAACACCCAGTAAAGCAAATAGTGATACAGCTTTTCCAAAAGATATATGCTTCTTATTTATATATATATGCCTATAGCCTTTGGTGAACAATGCAATCCTAAAAAACCCTTTAAGAATATCAGCACAAGATCTCCTCTGAAGGGAGGTTTTCAAATCTTTCTGTATCAGTCTCAAAAGGCTATATTAAGAGGCAAGAATGGACAGAAAGACAAAGCTCTCAAAGAAAGCTACATCTGGAGGATTAAATAGTCTTTAACAGACAGCAACCAAAAGACAAGATGACCTAAGCCTCACAAAGCAATTACAGATAGGATTCTTTAGGAACACAAAGGAGGAGTATAACACAGGGCTGGCTATTCAAGGCTAGTGACCTTGCTCATTTCTACCCTAAAACTACACAGTCAAGGAACAGCACTGAATGAGAAGGCAAAGGCAAAATGGCTAATAAAAGGTTTGAAAAGTAGTACAACCTAATGAAAGCAGTAGATGGAGCATTCAAGTTAGAAATTGTCTGGCACCCATTTAATTAAGTATTACAAAATGTAGTAAAAGGCAATCAAATGCAATACTTGGAAGCAAAGCTGCCCTGGAGGGAGGCTACTAATGGCAGCCCTGCAGGATAAGTCCATGGGATCAAACATTAGTGACTGGGTGACATCCACTAAGGAAAACTTCTGATGACCTACAGCTGGAACACTATGAAGGTAGAACAGGTTCATAATACCAAAGAAAAGCTGGCATGACCTTGCAGGCTGGCATCACAGAAATAGAATGAAACTCATAACTGAATTAAAAAAAAAGCCATGTACTTACAGCCTGTGTTTCTCCTGTAAGAGTGACTGCTTGAAAAAGACTGAAGAATAGCTAGCCTCACATAGGCTAGCTATCTATAGAATCATTGAGGCACCAAATTGCTGAAAAGCAAGCAACCCTAAGATGCATATGCTGAAATTCCCGGGAAATAAGGGCAGCCGATGAGAGTGCTGACAGATTTTAAACAGCAAGTATTAAATTTACACTGATGACCCTAACAATAACCTGGTTCAGCTGACTAGTTTCAGAAGTGGGAGAGAAACAGAACCCCTTTCAAAAATGTTTAGAACATTTATACCAAGGAATACATGAGTTGGAGCCCAAGAAAACAGGGAACTATGATCAGTGAGAGTGCTCCTAGTTCTAGGCTCTAAAATCTAAAGAACATGTTTTTCAAGTGAAGCTTTTTAGAGAGAAGATAAAGGCATAGAAGTATAAAGGCAACACTCAGAAATTTATCAGAAGAAGTAATGAATTCTAGGGACCCACATAGGATTAATTGTGAGCCATAAATGATCTCTAAATTTCAGGTGTGAAGAGCATCAACACTTGCATTAAAGAACTTCCTGGCATACACACTATGCTATATTATAATAAGCGACTTGGTGCTCTGCCAAATGCCTGCCCTGATATCTACTCCTCTCCACTAACGTTTTACAAATAAAACAAAAAAGATACAAGTCTAAGGAACTCCTGAAAATCAAACACACTGCACAAAAGCTGTTGCAAGCTGAACACTGTGCTTAGGAATAACTGCTCTGAGTGTCCAGAAGAGTGACCTGAGCTGACTGTAAATACCTTGTTTAAAGGGCGCCTGCAAGAGCCCAGACCCTAACCCCAGCCTCTTCCAAAGCAGCTCTCCCCCTGAAAAGATGACAACGAAGCAACCCCCTCCATCCCCACTTGCCCACTCACTCGTGCTCTGCCACGTCGGGCAGGTAGGCTGCGTTTTCTTGCGACGGGTGCGCCATAAAAACCACGTCCAGGTCATCAAACGCTCCGGCTTCTATGAGGTCTATTTTGCCCCCTCCGTCTTCTTCCGCCGGGGTGCCCAGCACCGTAATCTGCAGCACAAACGCACAGAGTCAGGGGCCGAGCCGGGG